TATATATATATATATATATATATATATATATATGTGTGTGTATTATAAGTCTAAACTATCTTATTTAACAGGATAATTGAACAGGGTATTGCACAATTGCAATGTTCAGTTCACCTGATCTCGAATAAAAAAAAAAATAGTGCCATGCACTCCAAAAAGGAAAATAAACTTACTTTGCTTAACATTTGGCATTAGGTGCTTTTTTTACATATTCATCCAATTTTAAGCAACACGTATATAAATATTTTCATCTAAACACACTGTGCAATAACCCTGTATAATGATCCTACTATTAAAAAAAAAAAGCTGTCATATGTGGACTGTATATACAGTACTGTATATATTCCATGCACCTTTCTTCCTTTGACACATTAGCACATTTCTCCACTGAAAGATCAATAAAATCAATTAATCACTTGAAGTGTTTAATTCCATCAGTGTAAGCTTAGTCCAATTAAACCAAAATTAAAATGAAAGATTAGTTTAGTAAATACCTCATTTTAACGTTTGTGATGTGAGTGAAAATTATTTTTTCTTCTACTCTACCAAGCAACCTGTTTGTAGCGTTTTTGGTTATGTAGACAGAGTAATACCATTATTTCACTGCTTTTTATAGTTGCATACGGTTAGCTTTATTGACTTTTTTTTTTATCCCTCGCCATCATGTGAAGAAATACGGTTTCTCATTCAGTTACATTCATCATAACTTTCAAAGTTTGATCTCTGTTTGAGGACTGAACACAAAGAATAAGCCAAGTCTTAACCATTATACTAATCTGTTCTTTCTATAGAGACAGAGATGCTATTTTATTTAAACAGGCAAACATGGTGGCCTGTAGAGAAACACTCTCTTCTCTATTTCCAACAGAATGAAATTTAAAAAGTGAGATAAATGAGCAAGAGGCACGGTGGAGTGAATGCCAACAAAGTGGCAGGAGCTAAAAATTGGATGGAATTGACACTGATAAGGCAGTGCTGTGCTTGTTTTAATGAAAGGATGGTGAAAAGCCAGCATGGGACTGAATGACGAATCAACTCTAAATAAACAAAAAAACTCTGCTACTTTCAGCACCGACTCTGGTAGCATCTTTATGTCAGCTTCCAGCCACAGCATGGAAAACTTTGGTTTAACTAAGCCCTTCAGCCAACCCTGCAGATATCAGCACAACCACCCGACTCCCATCATGATCTAAGCTACAAAAATAGAGGGAAACCTGTAGGGAGATTAATCTAAAGTAAAACAAGATTTTTAATTGGCTTCACAAGAAATGAGAGGCAGTGTGGACTGCCTCTCAACAAAGATTGAATAAAAAGTGAGTTATCTTTAAATAACTCTGCCCAACCCTGATTGTCTCGATGGTCTAATTTTGTTCTTAATCAACCAAACTGATTTATCAACACAAAAAACACAACTTTGAAAAAATAAATATTGTTTAGATTGTCTGGATGTTTATTGAACCAAATAAAATCTGTTTGCAGACTTTCACATGTTTTCTTCTCTGCATGATTGAGAAGAAAGAATAAAGCTTTTATTCTTAATTAAACCTGCTGATGTCTTAAATCAGCTCCCTAATAAAAAACACCTTCCACATTTATCCAAAGCCTACTACAGATGCATAAAAAATCTTAGAAAATATTTATTACAGATCATAGATATTGATGATGTTTTAATTAATTATTGTTGTTGTTCATTTGTAACGTAACCTTTAGTGTTTTGAAAGGTGCTTCTAAATTAAATGTATTATTAATATTATACTGAATCTTATAATAAAATTGAAAACATGAAGTCATATATATGTTAATTAAAGCTATATCAACTTAATTAGAAATTTGCTCATCTGGAAGAAACTGTCAATAAAAATGTTTTGCATTTATATTGAGCAAGGGTTCACTATAAAATTTCTACTGTAATCGCAATAAGTCACATAAGGGAAAGCTAATATTTGCTGCACCCCATGTTCTCTATCTTGACCTCAAATCTGGTATTTAATTTTTGTAAGAAAAAAAATGCTTTCTGTAGATTAAAGTCAGCATATGGACAGAAGCTTTCCTTTACCTGACTGTCCTACATATTAACCTTCCAGGACAGCAGAACCCAATTTTCTGCACATTGACTGGAACAGAGACATGGTGTAATGCAATTTCCAGGACAGCTTCCAGCAGCACCAACGCATCAATGATTTAAATGTTATTCTCTGCACTTGGGGCAAAGCATCAATATTTTGAAGCAACCTTCAGATACTCTAAGAAGCAGACTTCACCGCGGAAAAAAATTGTTTAAATGCCAGAAAAATGATAAGGGATCAATATAAAGAACTTTATGTGAGACATTTGATGTCAAGTTAAACAGATGAGAAGGAAAATCTTCTAGCGCTTCCCGTCTAATTCACTAAAAGCCTTGTTATGATCCCACTTTAGAGAATAAGGTCTCTTCCATAAGCTAGATGGGCACTACGAGGTGTTGAGTGTCGTTCCCATTAAGAGCACAGATGTCGTTATAAAAACTGACCTGTAAAAAAAAACTGCCATCTTTAACAGCTGGTTTTAAATGAAATTCTACTTGTTCAAAATGACCGACTATGAATCCCATCCAGACTGAAGGATCTGGAAGGCAGCATCCCTTATGAAAGCTGTAAAGCTTCATGCAACCACTGCTGCTGGCATTTCTCTGCATCAAATAAATTGCCTAAAATTTAAATCAAAATAAAAAAAAAAGAAGAACACAGAGTTATTGTTAAGCTAGACTCTCCCACATACCTATTGCGAGTGTCAAACCTGCTGGTGCCATTAATGTCAGCAGGATGGTCAGTTCATCATTTGAGCTCCTCTCTGACCGTTTTATCAGCCATCATCATCAAAACTGCACAGAAAGGAGAGAGGGGGACTCTAACTGCAGAATCAATCATTTCTGTTAGGTTCCATCTGCAGATTAAATGTAGGTTGAGGTCCACATTTTGGCCTGAGAATAAAACATGAGTCCAGCTTTAACATTTTCTGTAAAAAAAAAAAGGAATTAAATAAAACTAAAAATCAAGTTTTCATAACAACCATTTCTTCCTAGACTCAAAAATGCATCTATAGTTTTTAAAGATGAATAGGGATTTTTTTTTTCCAAGATTCTTTCAATGTTTAAATAAGCAGGTTCCTCCATTAATTTATAGAATTCCTACATCTATGATGCAGTTGCTGCCCATAACCACTGAAATTTGCTGTTATTCTTAAAAAATAAATAAATATATTTGTTGATCTGAAAGCATCAAGCAGAATTTAAAGGAGTTTTATAAGGCAGCAATAATCTGGTGTTGACAAACATGCTAACAGGATCTTTCTGGATCTTTTTAACAGTATCTGGGCTCCATGTTGGTGAAGGAGCTGAGAGGGACGGAGTCGACGCAAGATGCCTGCGCTAAAATGAGGGTAAAGCTCCGTCTGATGTACTTCACTTCTACATTTTATGAAAAAATGCTGTCAATAATCAGACGCACATGCATTGGCAGAGAGGAAACAACACGTTTTGTTTTTTTTATTATGGAAACATTTCCATAATAAAAGGGTCCACTCTTACAAGTAGCTACCAAATCTCATAAGGGGCAAAACTGAATTAGTATTTGTAAAATAAATAAAAGCAATGAGGCTGTATGTAGTGAAGGAAGCCCACATATGCAGCATGCATCCTTGTGATTTACACTATATTTTCCCCCACCACCTCCGCTCTCTGCCATTTTCTGTCTGATTAATGCTAAAAAAGATCATTAACGCCTTAAAAAAAGAGGAAGAGTTAAAGAAATCTATATATTCAGCATGATTCATAATTCCCAACCAGAGATTTAACCATTTGAAGCGTGACATTAACAGTGACGTTTACACAGAGCTGTAACAGAAGGAAACAAAAGGTCCGAAAACATTTTTCCATCCTTCCTGTCATAATCAGAGGTGATGAAATGACAGAAAGCAAAAACATTTTAGCTTAATTGCATCGTAATTAATGTCTCTCCACGGTTTATATTTATTTTAACCCCCCCTCAAAAAATGGTCACTCTTTTACACTTTTAAGTTTTCTTTGAAAATTGGTTTTAATACACCAAACGTTCAAAAACAGTTAAAGGGTCCAATTGGATTCTTTTTATTCATTTTACTGCTTTCAAACAAAACTTTCCTGGTTTTTCAGCTGTTCAGACACTCCTTTCTTTCTTGTTGGTATCAATGGTTCCTTTTTTGACTCTTTTGCCCTTCTATTCTGGTCCACTGCAGTACAGAGATTGATTTTAGTATTCCTGATCGGATCATCATGTTCTTTTACCGTAGAAGCTTACCTAGCCTTACTTTCCTCAGCTTTTGCAACACTTAAACGTTGCAAATAATGGCAACGCAATGTATATTGTGAGTGTACCTTTATCCATCCCTTAACAAAAACAGAGGTTGATGTTTAAATCCAGATTTATAGACAAGTGAGCAAAGCCAAGTAGAGCTGCTGTTGGCAGATTTTGGAGAAAAAAGAAACAAGATTCTCAGGAGGGACGATGGAAAGTTAAAGTTACTCCAGTCTTTGAATAAGTAAAAGCTTTTTGCATATATGTTTTATTCTCTGCATGTCATCAAAAAGCACTGAGATTTACTGTATGAGTCAAATGAAATGCCAAGATTTAATTAATCTAATATTAATTTGGTTTAAAATGTATTTTCAGCTCATTGTAATGGGTGTGACATATAGAGATGATTTAATGAACCAATCAAAGGGGTTAGATTATAGGCTGAGACAAGGTGAAATAAAAAAGGATAAGTTTAAAGGTAACCACCCCCTCTCCTCTTTGTTTCCATGTTTTATTTCCTCTGCTCTCCAAGAAGTCTACGGAACAGATGAAGAAAGTACCGACCATCGTCCTCTCTGTGTCCTACAAAGGAGTGAAGTTCATCGATGCCACCAATAAGGTAACAACACAATAGCAGCAACGCCTACGGTAAATAACACATGAAAGGTCAGCGGACATGATGGAAAGATCGACCTTCAGAGGTGTCATGTCTGACTCTAAACAGGCCAGAAGTGTGGTTGGTTTAAAACTGGCCGAAGCACAAACAGGCTACAGTCTTTATGGGATAGAGGAGAGAACAGAGAATGAAACAGAGATGGGTGTTTATAAAGCAGAAGTGGTGTAACTCTTTCATCTCCCTTCTCCAATTGGACTGATTAATTTGTTGTTTATTTTTTAGATTAATTGATTAATAATGGGATAGCCAAAGGTTACTTAAAGAAGATTTTTAATGAAATTAAACTAAAACGTTTCTACTTGTGGATTTCTAGATAGAGCATATTGACAGAATGCAAAACTTAAATGCAAAATGTTTATATATTTTTTTTTTTTTACAATTTTGATATAATTACTGCTCTAAGTGGGTCACTCTGTCAGCTAAAAGCACGTTTTACTGTCTCTACACTCCATTTAACGATTAATCCTTTACTAAATTAGTTAACGATTATTTCAATAATTGATTAATCCAACTTTTTTCATTCCTTCTCTGGACATAGAGTAAAATATTGACTTGTGGTGATAAGTCATATGGTGATAAGAAGATAAAATTACCAAAACCAAGTGGAAAGAAAAAGTTAACAATCACCAAGCTTTTAGAATAAGATCTGAAATTTGATTAAGCAGATTGATAGAGATGTGGAAGGAAAAAAATAACTCTGTATTTCTTCCATTATGGGGACAAAATCCATCTTTGTTTCCAAATTATGAACGTGAAGAAAAAAATATGGAAAAGCATAATAGATTATAATGTTCTTTGCAAGGCATTAAAATGTGCCTAATTTTCAGTTTTATGACTGCAATGTTTCCTTTTTTAAGAGCGTTTATGGTCTATGTTGCTCTAGTGGTAAAGAGTAAAAATGTGATTAAACAATCAATGATATGCCCACCACTTAAATAAAGCTATTTAATTCATTTAAATTTTACTGCATACTATACCATATGAGGGAGGATTTGAACAAATTAGATAAATAAATTTTTATAATTATAAACATGAACAATGCTTCATGGTTTTAAGTACTGAACTGGAAATATAACAAGAACAAGTGAGCTACTCCAATGAGAAATTATCTTTTCCTTTAAAAGTAATAATAAAGACTAACTTTCCTTTATTATGCCATATATTTTATGCCTCTAAAGTTTCCAGACACTGTTATTCAGGAAAATGCACAGGATGACTGAAATCAACAGAATATTTGCTGCAAAACAGTTAAAAACACCCAGAAATCCAAGATATTAACAAGAACAACAAATTGCAGAGTATTTAATGTTGCTTCTGACTTATTTGAAACATGTTTCTGATCGCCTCACTTTTAGTTTTTTATTGAAAACTTTAATCACCCTTCTAATAATGACTAATTATAGATATTGATAATCATTCCACATAACACCAGCCTCGTCTATATGTAGAATTTCATCACTTTGCTTGCAGAAGTATTAAAATACTTCAAAGAAAAGCTAGAATAATGGATAAAAGAAATGATGGACAGATAAATGCTATAGGAAGGAAAAGAAGCAGCATTTTGTTTCATCTACTCCAAAGTACAGCTGATTTTAGTCACTGTCCCAGCAATGGTTAGAATAAACTATCCAGTTGAACCGAAGATGCAGCTTTTGTTCAGTGACATGTTCTCCATGCATATAAACTTTTAAGTATTCACGACTGCTTTGAAGTTTCCCTCACTTTGAACTACTTAACTTATACATTAAAGAAATCCATTCCTTTAAGGTTTGGATTATGTATAATTTATTGCCTTAAGTAACGTAGCATGTCCTGAATGTTCTCTGCTTATTTACCAGTGAATAAATTCCAACAACACCTTCTAAAACCTTTTAAACCAATGCCGATTATAAATATAAATTTTCCCCCCCTAATTATCTTCCTCTCTCTCCTCAGAACATCATAGCAGAGCATGAGATTCGTAACATCTCATGTGCAGCTCAGGATCCAGAGGATCTGTCTACGTTTGCCTACATCACCAAAGACCTCAAATCCAGTCACCACTACTGCCATGTCTTTACTGCTTTTGATGTGGTGAGTCCTGACACCCCGTCTTTCATCAGATTCATCTGGATCATTGCACACGCCACACCTTGAGGCAGCGACATGCAGAATGCATCTAAAGTTCTTAGCAGTGATGATGTATTCAGATATTTCAGTGCATGTATTTATTTCCAACTACTATACTGCGTTCCAAAATGAAAATATGCAGTCTGTTAGAAAATGCAATATGAATAATAAATGTTTCCCATCTTCTCAGAATCTGGCCTATGAGATCATCTTGACGCTTGGCCAGGCCTTTGAGGTGGCCTATCAGTTAGCGCTGCAAGCCAGGAAGAGTGGCCATGGATCGGCGACGCTGCCGGAAAGCTTTGACAGCAAGCCGGGCAAGCCTGTGCCCAAACCCCGAGTCAACATCCGCAAATCAGTAAGCATCCATACGGCGGCAAGGGAAAATCCATCCAATAAAGATGTTCATTTAAACTTGGGGGTGGGGAGGGGGGAGACAAGTAAAAGTAAAAATAGCCTAAATCTTTATTCCCTGGTTCAGGTATGGATGGATTTTCACTTCTTATCATCTTTTAACCCCTAAACTCAATCCAGCATCTTTATATTAGCTTTTAATGCCACACTAACACCATTTTATTAACCTCCATTTTTACTCTCCTCTCCATGCATACCATCCATCCCAGCATCTTCTTCCCGCTCATTTCCGACTTCTTCATCTCTCAGTCCTGATCTTGTGTTGCTTGTGTCTTCTGTGTGTGTTCTGGCCCAGTGGACAACGTGGCAAAGGTTTATGTGGATATTTAATCTGTTAAGCTTCTACTCGGTCTTGCTGTCCCTGCAGTCTCTAACACACTCGGCTGATTGATGAGGCCTGTTTGCATTGTGCTCCTTGGAGGCTCGCTTGCTCATCTTTCAGTTTGTGAGAATTGTGTGCTAGAAAAACATAAAACAGCCTGGTGATAAGTTGGTAAAAACAAGAAAAATGACATGTCAGTCTTTTAGATACTCAGTGAGAATATGATATTTTGCACAGCTCTGAAAGACAACATAGCATATGCAGTTCCATGATGATTAGTTGTCAAGCATTTAATCATTGAATATATGCATTCCATGAGTATCTAATTAGATACGTTGCGCTTCCACTGGACTTTTGCTTCCCATCCAGGAAGCCTTTTCAATTTAAAATGTCAGAAATAGCGATAAGTTGGAGGCTTTATAGAGAGGACCAAAAACAAAGCCTTGTTTTGGCTTAGAAAACATGCATGTTGAACCGGAAGAACGGCTCCATCCCTAAGGAATGGGCAGTCATTTGGGTTCTTAGTTGGCCTGCAAAACCCGATACTGGTCTATGTCTCTGAAAGGGGGCATTAGAGGGGATTGTTGGCCTGGCTGAACAGGCGAGATCTTTGGTCCCAGGTAAAGGGTATGTGGGTGTTGCAATGATAGTGGGAAGGAATCAACTCTATCGCTGCGTTGTAGGCTTTTAAAAGCTGAAACCTGAGTTGTTTTTTCTTTTTTAGCATAAATGGCTTCCTTCACACCCCTTTTTTAACCACCGGCCTTCTTTGACCAAAATGTGAACATTCTGGTCCTCAAAAGAATGTTCTTTGTCCATAAGGTGTTGATGGACAGCCGAGTCTTATTCGGAGGAGGTTGCTCTTCTGTGTTGAGCGATGCGTCTGTGGAGAGGTTTGGTTTCTCCAATATAAAGATCAGAGCGTTCCTAACTGCATTGAACTACATATACCACCCAGCTCATATTTGGTCTGGGGGTTTTGTCTTTAGGCTGCACTAGTCTCTGTTTAAGGATCTTGTAACGAGAAAATCCTATTGAGTTTCTTAGAGACTCCAGCAACATATGGAATGGGGATGTTTTTGTCTTTAATCTTCACAGCATTATGTTCTGCTGCTTGTCTTTTAAATTTCCTCGCCGATTTGACAAACGCCCAGTTTGGGTATCCGCAGGTTTGAAGAGCATCTTTGATGCGTTTCTGTTCTTTATGCTTCCCTTCATGCTCGGCACGATGTTGTAAGGTTCTAATAACTGAAAGTCTGTGTTTCTAAGTCAAAACAAGGCTTTGTTTGGGCTACTCTATAAAACTTGGAACTCAACACTAATTCTGACATTTTGAATTGAAAAAGCTTCCTGGATGGGAAGCGAAACATCTTCAAACTTGGAAAACAAAGTCCAGTGGTTTGTTTAACTTTTTTGGAATGACTATGACCTGGATGACTGAGAATCTTCACCAGTATAGTCAAAATTATCTTTCGGATTCCAGTCAGAAACTCTAAACTATGAGGAGGGTGCATCAATACCAGTCTATATTACTTTAACTTCTAAGTGGCAGACTTAGACTTCAGGAATATTTTGCGTTAAAGGGTTGATGAATGGATAAAAGTCCTGAAGTATAATCATCCTGATAAATAACTTTTTTTAAATTTTGTTCCTTCCTTAATTCTGTAGGAACCCTGACACAGAGTTTCCACGGGTAATTAAAAATCATTAAAAGTCATTAAACTATTATTTTTTAAATTAAGGCCTTAAATGTGATTATCGTGGCATTTAAAATGCTTTAATTAAAAAAGAAGCGTATATAAAAACAATTTCGTCAGATATCAAATATAACTGGTTTTGCGTGCTGGTGCGGAACTGCTTGCAGTTGATCGTAAAGTTGTATGTTCGGAAAAGAAGCTCAAGTCGGAGAAAAATCTAGGGAATTGAAAAATGCTAATTTCAACAAAAGTGGCAGGAAAACTAGGAATTCGGGACATGGCTGCAACCTGTTGACGGTAAAGATGTCAAAGGATTTTGTCTTGTTATTTCTATATATATATATATGAGTCATGGGTGCTTGTTGATGGTATTAAAATAATTTCTAAGAGAATTAAAAAGCATTGAATTAGAGTTACTCGTTCCTGTATAAACCCTGTGACAGGAAACGGCTCAAAAAAGAACTTTGCTGTTCTAGTTAAATGTGTTTGAGCTTTTAGGGGTATCCTGCAGGAATGAGTTCTAAGTTTGAAGTGTTTTCTATACAGTAAAGCATACATTTCTATATTCTATATTTTATGGTTTAGTCTGTGCTGTGGTGCTGCTTTGAATGTTACTCAAAACAAAGAAATTCAGCGTTTTGTTTCTTTAAACTAATAACGTTACACTCTCCACAACAAAATGTGGTCAAAACAAGCATCGTTGTTGACAGTCAGGGTTATCGTTGTAATTTAAGCATCAGTCAGTGTAAAAGTGGTTTGTCTGTTGTAGTCATAGCAGCCTAAAGTGAGTTTCTCAACAGTCCATTAAACCCACACTGGGTTTTAAAATAGTCGTGGGAACATGCCGACACGTGGTCAGCCACAGCAGCATGTGTGTCTACAGGGCTCCGTATCATGTTTCAGGCCGATAGACGTACAGTGTGATGGTGGTAAACAGTGGCGTCAGATGGATGGCCTCACTGTCTAAAGTTAGAAGTGAGATGCTGCTGAAAGAGCAGCGAGAAGAGGAAAGACGGTTAATGAGCCGATATGCTGACAGTGCAGAGATGATGGAGGGCGACACATTGCAACCACTACATTAAATATTAGTAGTTTTTTTGCCTTCCCTGGTGTTTTTGTGTGTGTATGTGGACTTTTTAATGGCTTGTTGTGAGCCGCAGATAACGCTAAATATCCTACCATCCTGCAGCACAGCCCCTTTACGCCGTCTAAATTTAATGTTCAGGCTGGTATTTGTTTCCCCTGTAAACTAGACCTAACTTGCATTTAGAGCCTGTTGGATGGTGGTCTGATGCAATTTTAGTCCTTTTAGTCAAGGCGGGTAGAGAACAGAAACATGAGTCTCTTATTTTAAGACTGACGAGTAATTCTGATTCCAAACGTAGGTGGAAAAGCCTGCCAGCTCTATAAAAAAGGCTTGTTGCATAGCTGCTGTAGTCTGTCGCTGTAACTAAGCTTCTCAGATGCCAAGTACTCCATAAATAATCACTGTAAACATAGAACAGGGTGGTATATTGACCTCTTAATTTATACAGGATATAAAATTAACACTTATTTGCCAGCATGGACTTCTCCCCAGTCCCGGCAAAGCCTCCCTCTCTGTGAAAAAACACTGCAGGCTGGTGATATACTGTTGCTAACTTTCTTTTTTAACTTTTAGCTTGAAGTCAACCTTCTGCTCATTAGGAGAAACCAGGTAGTCCTGGGATCTCATTATGATGCCTTCAGGGTTCCAAACTTTTAGTCTTCCAGGCATGAATGTATGTTAGCTGGCCCTGAGGTAACATTTGTAGGTTTAACGACTTTAGAAAGCTTGGGAGTGATGTGAAACTTTGGATAAACAGAGGGCAGTGATAGAGCAAATAAAATACACAATAAAAATTTTCAAAGGTTGAAAACTTCTGAAATAATAAAAACATATGTGATATTTCCATGTTTAAGATGAACCACTAATAATCTAGAGAGACAATACATCTGATAAATCGCCTGTAATGTTTATTTAATAACTTTTCCACACAAAAAATGTAATTAGCAAAAATTTGTTTCCCAGAGTTAACTATTTGCATCCATCTTTGTTTAGTTTTGGTCCTGATGTTGTGGCTTTTGTATTAAGCTGATCCTTCAACTTCAAGCTCAAAAACATCCTAACAGTTTGTCAGATTTAAATGGGATTGGAAGCAGCAACCAAAATACAGAGAACAGAAAAAGTGGAGAATTTCTGGTCTAAATCATGAAAGAGGAAAGCTGTAATTATTAAAAAGAACATCCACATAATATTTTCACTGTAAGCAAATTGTAATTTATTCCAGTTATAATATAAATACATATATTTTTGTTCTTATAGTCTGTTAAAAGACCATTTGTGTGATTAAAATTACTTAGCAAGCGTTTCTGTTCAATTATGACATTTTAAAAGAAAGTCTAGGATTAACATCTTGCTTTTCTTAAACAGTAAAAGAATGAGTTAACATACTTATTGTCCCGATTGTTTAAATATTTTTTACCTCATCACAGGTAATGCCAGGTATAGACTGGAGTCTTGGACCTCTTGAAACAAACAGTAAAAGGCTTGCACAATGAAAAAATAAAAAGCGTTTTCAGGATCTGTTTGAGATAAAAAAAAAACAACAACTTTAATTTTGTCTGTAAAGACTCACTTAAAGGAATATTTTTTAAATTCTATTCGTTCTGTTGCTGTCCCAAAGTCTTTTTAGCTGTTGCCATGCAGAGATTGGTGGTTTAATGTGGCGTAACATTGCTTTTTCCAGCTTGAGTTTGGCTGAACTGCTGTAACGATGCTGTCCTATGCTGTTGCCAAGGCGATGTTGTTGCCATGGTTTTCGCTGTGGTTTTCAAGTGCAGCTGCTTTGTCATTATAGTTTTGTGGATGTCAGTGTTTGTGGAGCTCGCCTACTTTGACGAGTGTGACCTCTGCCCCCTGTAGGTTATCATGTCTCCCTCCAGCCGCTGGTCACTGGGCCATATTTATACCCCTCACCGGCCTCCTCTCCACCCTCCTCTTCCACCCCCTCGACTCTTCCATCTTCCTTACAAAGCTCAGTTCCAGGTCCTTCACACTTTTCCTTCTTCTGTGCTTTATTTCCACATTTTTTCCTCCAGTTTTATCCATTCAAACCTATTTTGTTTGTCCCTTTTAAAGTGTTTCTTCTTTCTTTACTTGCAATCTCTTATCCATTTTCATATATCGGCAGCATTGTTCTGGTAAAGCAAACCCAATTCTCTTGCTATATGCTGGCCTGGGTTAAGGTGTTTTTCCTTTTAGTCCCTGGACAGAGAAATTAAAAGTAAATACAATAGACAGTGTTTTAAACTTGGTAAAAAGCTTTAGGATTAAAAAAAAGGATAAAGTTAAGTCTTGCCAACTGGATATGAAGTTTTTCCTCTCATCCAAGAGGCTTCTTCATTTCTAACTAGTGGTGGACAGCACTGAAATTAATTTAAGGTAGGTCTAACAAAGAGGGGAACAAAAGGTGGCTTTGATCCCTCGCACTGGATTTTCAACCAGCACCGGATACCTGTGCACTTCAAACCCAGCAACAGCCTGAGACGAGAACAAGCAGCTGCTGCACAGGTGTATGGCTCAACACAGGAGGGCCAACTCTTCAGGAGCCCTCGTTAGACTCACACTTCAATGAGGTAGTTAACGAGTCATCAGAACCCCATTTGACCTCCGTAACCAATCCAGTGGGAGGGATCAAAGCTACCTTTTGGCCCCATTCCAAAAAGGTTAAAAAAANCAAAATGTCAGAAATAGTGTTGAGTTCCAAGCTTTATAGAGTGGACAGCCGTTTGGGTTATTTGGTAGCATGCAACATCCAATTCTGGTATATGTCTCTGAAAGGGGGTCGTTAGGAGCAATTGTTGGCCTGACTGAACAGGCGAGATGTTCTTATCCCCTGTATGGGGGTTTGGGTTGCGATGGCAGCGGGAAGGCATCATCGCTGCAGTGTAAGTTTTTGAAAACTGAAACTTGAGTCCACCCCTTCTGTTTAAGGTTGGTTTTTCTTTCTTAACGTAGATGTAACACCGAGTCTTGTCCGGAGGAGGTAGCTCCTCTGTGTTGGGCCATGCGTCTGTGGAGAGGTCATTAGGTTTCACCGATATAAAGATCAGAGCATTCCTCACTTCATACAACACTCCGCTCATCTTAGGTCTGGGGCTGTTTTCTTTAGGATGCAGTAGTCTTTTTTTAAGGGTCTTGTTTGGTTTGAAATGTACTGGGATGTTGTGTTTGGAGAAAATCCCCCAGCAACATATGGGATTGATATTGTTTTTGTGTTTAATCTTCACACCATTATGTTCTGCTGTGTGTCTTTTGGATTTTCTTGCTGATTTGACAAACATCCAGTTTGGGAATCTATCTTTGCAGCATCTTTGATGTGCTTCCCTTCAGTTTTAGTAGGGACATACTTGTGTTGGAAGGTCCTGATGACGGAAAGTGGGTGGTTGTCAAATGAGCAAAGAAAATCCAAAAGGCACACATCAGAACATAACAGTGAGAAGATTAAACGCAAAAAACATGACCATCCCATATGTAACTGAAAAACTCCAGAGGATTTTCTCCAAACACGACCCTTAAACAGAGACTAAAGACAAAACCCCCAGACCTAAGATGAGCGGAGTGTCGCAGTGAGGAATGCTCTGATCTTTATATTGGAGAAACCAAACAACCTCTCCAAAGACGCATGGCCCAACACAGAAGAGCTACCTCCTCCGGACAAGACTCGGGGTTACATCTACACCTTAACGACAAAGGTGGTTTAGAGGGGCGTGAAGGAAGCCATCCATGTTAAGAAAGAAAAAAAACAACCTTAAACAAAGGGGGTGGACACGGGTTTCAATTTTAAAAAACTACACTGCAGTGATAGAGTTGATTCCTTCCTGCAATCATCACAACCCCAACCCCCATACAGGGGATCAGAACATCTCACCTGTTTAGCCAGGCCAACAATTCCTCCTAAAGACCCCCTTTCAGAGACATAGACCAGTATCAGGTATTGCAGGCTAACAAAAAACCCAAACGACTACCCGTTCTTCAGGTTTAATTTGCATGTTTTCTAAGCCAGAACAAGGCTTTTAACTCAATGCTAATTCTGGCATTTTTCATTGAAAAAGCTTCCTGGATGGGAAGCAAAACATCTTCACCAGCATATCCCCCCAACCCTACTTTGAACTGAAGAAGCCTCTTGGATGAGAGGAGAAACGTCGTCTAAAAACTTCATGTCCTGAGAGTCTTCACTGATTCCTGAATTATTAACGATTTTCAGTTTACTTGCAGAGTCCCAGCATATGGAAGTAAATCGTTACCATATTTCAAATGAAAAAGCATTTTTAGAATGTGGCTGCATTACTTGATTGGTAATCAATAATCTCATTTTCATTTTCTTCAACACTGCTCATTCTTTTACTTAATTAAAATGAAAAGACATTTGAGATTTGTTTTTCAAAATGTACCCCAGCAAATACATACGAAAAAGCATTTCCAGAGATACTTTTTCATTTTAAGAATGTGGCTGCATTACTTGACTCATAAATTAAATTAGTAATCAATCATCCTATTTGCATTTTCTTCTTTAACACTGCACATTTTATGCCATATTCAAAGAGAAAACACAGCAGACATTGCTTTTTTGTTTTTGTGGTCTGCCAGCAAAGCACTGTCCATAACTTGAAAATGAAAAAGCATTCTGAGCGGCCTCAGGTCCTTGCTGACCGGGCTACCCATCTTGTTCGGTAGGGTGTACTGTGCACGTCTGCATTGCGTTACATTGTAAGCATGTCGGCGTTGCCGCAGGCACTTGCTTTAAAGCAGCAGCGGCCTTCCAGTATTTCCCGATAGTCAGACTCGGCAATGCTGACGTCACTCTGCTGCACCCGCCACTCAGAATGCTTTTTTGTTTTCGAGTTATGGACAATACTTTGCAGGCAGACCACGAAAAATTAAAAAGCAATGTCCGCTGTGTTTTCCCTTTGATTATGGCATAAAATGTGCAGTGTTAAAGAAGAAAATGCAAATCAGATTATTGATTACTAATTTAATTTATGAGTCAAATAATGCAGCCACATTCTTAAAATGAAAAAGCATTTCCAGAAATGCTTTTCCATTTTCAAACTTTGCTGGGGTACATCTTGAGAAATAATTCTGAAATGTCTTTCTTTTTCATTTTAATTAAGTAAAAGGATGAGCACTGTTGAAGAAAATGAAAATGCAAACAGGATTACTGATTACTAATTTCATTTACGAATCAAACAATGCAGCCACATTCTTAAAATGCTTTTTCATTTTAAATATGGCAACAATTTGCTTCCATACCAGCAGAATGTGGCTCACTTTACATTAAATTGGTGACAGTAGAACAGAGAATGCTCCAGGGGTTTTTGAACATTTTCTAAACAGGCATCTACTTGTGCTTATGGAGATTTGGTGAAGCTCAGATACCAGCCTTACTGCATCTTAGGTATTTTTTGCTATTTTTAAACATCCTCCTAAGTTTGCAACAGGTTACCTAACTGACCAAACCTTTTCTATTGTCTTTAGCTTATTAGCTACCAATATGTCCCTCATATTGTTAAGCTATAGCTCAACAATATGAGGGACAAAACCAACACTTGCAGCGTCTTTGCACAGTGAGATTAAAAAGATCTGTAGAGACCATGGAACTGATGTTACTGCATTATTTTTTCTTGCTGTGCAAACTTGTTTTTTCTTATTTTCTCAGCACATTCTGCTGGCTGCTATAGATGTAATCTTTACATACATTAGGCTAATATAGTGCAGCAAAGAAGCGTAAAAACTCTGTAAATATCTTTTGCAGTAGCCTTAATGCAATAGAATCCTAAGAAAAAAAGGTTGGTATTAATATCTCTGAAGAATTGTCTAATATGTTATGTGAAAAGCTCGACCTGTAGTAGTTTAAAACTGCCACGGTTCTCGCTGGGTTTTCCACAGATATTTGTGCAGCAGCTTGGCTTTAAAATTAAAACAGCAGAGGAAGGAGGAAAGAATGAATACAACTTTTAAACAATAGTACAGGAAATTTGAATATTTTTTCCAGACTGCAGGAACTAGGCTTATAAATAGGATGGGACACTGAAGGTAATAAATAGTTTGAGCGACATCTGGGGAGTCACCAAATCTCCATAATGCATCTATCTAGATGGTACTAAACTCAGCTGAAGCTCTCATTGGAAGTTTGGTCAAATGCAACCAAGATTTAATATAGCCATTAAAAATAGATGGGAAAGCACCTACTGTTGGGTGCAGTGGGCCTGTTTTACAAAGGACAGGAAACTGACTGCAATGTGATGAACTCATTTAGATCTGATACCTTTCCTGTGGGTGTCCTTCACTGGATGACTCTGTAACCTGGTTCTGCTCTTTGTGCCGCAGATGGAGCAGCCATCCATGGACCAGAAGGGCCATGCAAACGTGCCGTGGATTGTGGAGCCTGGACAGGAGGCAAAGAGAGGAGTCAACACCAAGTACGAGACCACTATTTTCTAACATACACCCGCCTTGTCCACTCCTGTGTGTGTGTGCCTTTCAGAAGTTGCCCTGTATCGGGGCCCGGCCCCGGAGTTGGGCACGAGCGACGCACGCCGGCGCGTCACCTCACCGGCTGAAAAACAAATACTATACACCTCGTCCCCTCCCCGCCCCCGTTAGCTGAGCCTGTCCACTGCATGATGACGATTGGCGCTGCGTTCTCTTTTTCTTTCTGCTCTCCCAGGCCTCATCCTCCTGCCTGCGGGGCTATCGCATGACCTTTGAACCCAGGGTAGTGGGATGGTCAGCTCAGTTTTTCTGTTATTTGTTCTGCCTTTTTTTTTTCCTTTAAGTTTTCTTCCAATTAAGAGGTATGGCTTCGTATCGCTTCTTTTTTAAGCTCTATCCCTCGCTTTTCTCTTCACACCAGCCCCTTTGTCTAACTGTTTCTGACAACTTTAATGATTTAACAGAGAGTACTGCTCTAAGAGCTGTAACAGTGTTTTAGCTGTCTGTTAAGCAGAGTCTGGGAACTGACAAAGACGAGGGATGTTGTCTGAACATGACAACAAGCTTCTACAGCATTTCTTAGAGAGGTGTAGCACAGTAACTTTGACTGAAGCTGATCCAGCTAGAAGGCTACTAGAATGTATTAAACCTTTTGGAGAAACTAACAAACTTGTGAATTTCTTTGTGAAATTAAACTTGACCTGTGACACAGGAAGACTTTACTTTTGTTTTTTCTAGGGTCTTTTTCAAAACTGTGTGTTTGTTGAGAACACATCTAATCTCGTTGATTTCATTTAAGGGAGGGGAAAGAAATGTTTGTAAAGGGGATAGCATGTGGGACGCATGGTGGCCAGTGGAGAGGCGGGGTGTGAGGGTTCTCTGGATAAGTGATGTCATCTCATTTTGCAGGGCAATGGCGGACGCTCATGTCTATTACTGTGGAATGCAAAGAATGTAGCCAGCCCTAAACATGGACCTAGTCACACTTACAATGCAAAATGGACTACAAACGGACCCTCTTGCTCACTTTTTAAAAAGGACAACAAAACATGGACGCCTCTCCACAATGTTACCCCTCCATTCACACTAACAGGACTGCATCGCGACAGACGACCAGTCTGCTCTGAATGTACACTTACTTGAACGCAGCCTCAAATTTCTGCAACTGTCGGTTTGATGAAGCCCAGCTTCTCCATGGAGTCTGAAAATGGATACAGGACATCAGTGGGCATGTTTAACATAATGGCATGGGTTCCAGGGTATCTGGCTGGCTAATTTCTTATTTTCTTTACTGTCAGAAAAAAAAATAAACATATGCACAGCTGTGTAAATGTGATTGGATTTGCTGCAACAACACGCTAAAGATGCAACAGAATTGTCATGACAAGCCTATGTGAACAAAACAGCATCTAGCGTTAAAGTATTCGTATTGCCCGACATTTTAATGTTTATTATGAGAGTATTATATTACCATGATAATCCTTGTGCAATTCTTGTCTACTGTTGTCTTATTGTTACATTATTTTTCTATGATATGCTGAGATGAAAACTTTGAGCCTGAGAATGATGGTGATCCTTTAAAAAAATAAAATCTGAATTTAGATGTTCATATTTGTACAGAGAGTGAATGTTGCAGGTTGCTTGCTAACTCCTAGGTCAGGTCAACCTCCATTTCTCATGGAGCTCTACTCTTATCTTGCAGATTTACTATTTTAAATGCAGTATTACTGTATTATTTGGATGAAACATTATCCACTTATAAAATGTACATAGATATTTTGCCAACTCATTGTTAATACATGAACTGTAAAGAAAAAATGAATAAAGACTTTGCAGCAAACGGCACTGGAAAAAAGGTACCAAAATAAAGGTTTGACATGTCAAAAAGTGGTAGATTGTAGAGGTTGTATTTTGAGTGAAAATATGGATCATATGGTGACATCTCTGCTGATTTACTAATATATAGGCTTGGGCTTCCAGCACACTGATTTTTGTAATTTGGGCCATTATTTATATCCTTGTAAAGCACATGAAATAAAATCTGACTTGTACAACCATATTTACTCCAAAGTCGTCATGAATTACAAAAAAGCAGAAACGTTTGATAACTATAAATCAAACGGGTTCAGTTTTTAAAAAGCACATGGAAAAATAGTCACTTCACACCCTGCACTGTCCTCAAGATGGATTTCGGCTACAAGTTGCACATCTAGATCATTCTGAGCCCTTATTTATGATATTTAAAGACAGAGACCTGGAATTTAGAGCTGTAGCTTTGTCTATATTAAGAAATGATACAAAGGATGATAATTCCTAATGTATATGGGGGAGTACATATATTATAGTGTGCTTATTCCTTAACTGAAATGACTTTGACATGTTTAATAAACTTTAGTGTCCATTGTATGTTACCTAGAGAGAATCGGTATCAGTTGACTGATTTAAAAATACGATAAAAGTTCTAACTATCATGCTTGATTGTTCTGTTTTCTTTGTAAAACTTACTGTATGTTGGATTCAGAAGCAGGCCATGATGTCAGCAGGAACGGTCCTTTTCAAACACGGCTATAAATAAAAGAAAAAAAGAGGTTATTAATCTAGTGCACACTTTCCATCCATTCAGATTCCAAGGTCAGTTTTTGCTGATAAACTGCTGGAAGTGTTTCACTTTGAGCAGTCATTCATGTCATGGACATTGATGTCGGTCATTTCATTTTTTGTGCTTAAGGGTTTAATACCTCCCCTTAAGCTTCACTACAAATCGCTGCTCTTAACATGTTAACAAGCCAATTACCCTCTGGAGAGGTCAAAATTATCTTTTTAATCCCCAAAAAAGCTAAACAATATTATTCTGTGGGGTGACATTGCACAAAGTGCAATAATTTACACAGAGAGTGGTCTCATTTTTTAAAATTCACCATTAATAAAACAGATCAGAGGTATCAAACACACCTGGATCATAAGGCTAAATTACAGCAGGTTCCTCAAGGTCTGGGCTCCTCAGCATCCAGTCAAGTTCTCTAATGACCTGATTATTTGACCCAGTGAACTGAAGCATAGACGCGTCTAAGTTGCAGGAGATCGGACCTCAACAGACCTGCTAATAGCCTAAACTGTTGATCCACTTTTAAGAGCTGAACATCGTCCCTCAGATGCAAGATAACACCAGAACTAGATGGTTGAAACCAAAACGTCCACAGTTACACCCATCCACTTAGAATCTTATGCTAATTACTTCTCTGAGGCTGCATGGAGACTTTCTCAAACTGCCAAGAAAAAGCTGGTTTAATGACCATGTTGTACTGTGCTTGATCAGCCAACAAACTGTCCTGACCTCTTCTCTCATAGAAGATCTATGTGTAAATGTCTGTAGAAATATGAACACCCTATCAAACAACCTGGATGACTGGTCACCTCTATGTCACGCCGCATCAAGGTAGGAATTCATGCAAAAGAAGGCCTGACCATTTGTTCAATGCATAGAAATATTTCTGAAACACCCCTTTCTTAAGACATATTTCTTAAAAATTACAACAAAGGCCTGCATTATTTTACTAAAGGTACAATTAAGCTATAATATGCTCTAGTAGCCAAGTTACATTTCTGGAAATGTTTTGATAATATTTACATTCAAATTTATTAGACAGAAAACAACTTAAGCCTAAAAAAAAGTTACCATATAGAAATTTTTAAATCTGCATTACTCCTGTATCACATTGGCCAACACAGTGACTTTACCATCGATCTATACATCCATAAATCCACCATGTCTGATTATTTTTACCTTTTATTTGCTGCCTGAGGAATCAGCCTAAAATATATTGTTGTGGCCCAGCTTTGATGACACAAAAAAGTGGAAATCCACAAAGGCCACAGATGCATCATGGACTTATTTTACGCAGGCAAAAGAAAAAAAGTTCCAGGTAAAATCCTTTAGTTTTCTCAGTTTACTTTTTCCTCAGGCAAGCAAACAAAAAAGACAAACATTTCCTCCATGTTTCTCTTGCGCTGGTAAAAAAAAAAAAAACATATGCCCACCCAGATGCATGTTGGTCCTACAATTGACTTCCTATTTATAAAAAAACAATTAACCTAAATTAATCCAAACTAACCAAAAATAAAGGACCATGGCCAAATAACCAAAAAACATAATCTTATAACAGATATCAAACATTAAAGTAAAATAAACTTAGCTAGATTATGCACAAAAACATTTTTAATTATTAACAAAAAAATAATTGGCTCCTTCATATATCACAAAAATGAAGGTTGCCCGTTTATGCAATAAAGCTATCAAAGCAAAGCATTGAGGGATTTTCAAAGTTGACATGAAGAGGCTGACAAGGCCCTCTAACATGGACCGTCTGAATCTACAGCTTTGAAAAGGTAAGTGCATCTTAATATGAGCTGCTGCTAATGACACATTTACATCACAGCATCCTCTCTAAGATCTTCAGTATCCAGCATGCAGGGTGCTGCTGGCGGAAAATTACACTTGATATGATGCCATGACCAACAGCAGGCTGGATATGGGTCAGTAGATGGTTTTAGGATGACTAATTTTAGCATTAATACTTAAGAGAATCACAGAGCAATCTGCAGAAAACCCGACACACCAAGCCTCACTCATGGCCATCAGGAAGAAAAACATAATAGGTAAAAGTCATAAGGGTCAGACAGAGCTTTATAAAAAATAGGGTACAGGAAACTGGCCACAACATCTGATTGTTGCAATTTTAATAACAGAACACAGGCCTGTACTAAACTATTCTAGCTGCAAGGACACTGTGAACCCAAACACATTCAGCTCAAATATTCCTCCTCACACAACCTTGCAGATGCATCCTGCAAGGTGGAAAAAAAAATACTTCCAAAAATGTTTTCAGCCTCTCAAAACCCAACTTGAGACACAATTAACATCCTTCACCTCAGCATCTGCATAGTGTTTTTAGTTTTATGCAAATGAAAGTTTGAATGTGATGTTAAAATCAATTGAAAACTGTTTGTGATTCCACCAGGCACTACTAAAAACAAAAACATAAAACAAGTGCAGTACCTCTAATTGTGTAATTAACTACAATGCAGTGACATTTACAGCAACCCTCTGAAAGGCTTGTCAAGGATATTTAAGGGCAGTAAACAGCAGAATGAAGGCGCTCACAATCTGTTGACAGTATGGACCATTCCCATCTGCAGCCAACAGATATGACCGTGTAACCGAGGGACATCAGTCGCTCTACAATGGAGGAGTGGGATAATTTACTGCCTGCATCAAACGTAATGCATTATGTGAAATCACAAAACGCTTTTTATTGTAAGAAAAGCCGACCAGTTGCTTAGGAGTTAGTAGCTACATCAAGATAATTTAAAACTTAGCCGAGAGTGAAGGAAGTGGAGCAATAGTTGCTGTCGCTTAGGCTCCACAAATCTCCAGATGTAGCAGAGACACAAGGTGCAGGGCTTAACAAATGACAAAGAGCAACTTAAATAAAGCAAAAAAACTGAATTTAAAGAGAATCTGGTATCAATATGATTTGCCAACTAGCTGCATCACGATATAAAAAGCAGGAAAAATTACATGTTTTGATTCACTGTGTGTCAGACTGTGGGACTGGGCCAAAGCTGCAGATGGTGAGTGCCGCCCACGGCTACCAACTAAATGAGACAATAGGAAAAAAAAGCTCCTCATGTAACAGTGACAATTATATCTGGAATTTTTTTCAACTGTTTTCTTCTGCTAATGCATGAAAAATCGGGTCAATTTAGACTTAAAGACAGTGTTTGTCTCATGTTTAACTCACCCGAAGAATTAGGATCTGCACCAAGAAACTGTTTTACATAAAGACAATTTCAGCTGAACACAAACACCTTGTTATGCACCTGGCAGATGTTGTGCTACAGCAATCACATTATCATAATGTGCTGGAAGAATCAAACAGAAGCAGGCTTCCTGGAAAGTGTTAAAAAATGCTCAACTTATTGTAATCCAAGTACAAATAGTGGAGAAAAATTTCCCACTTCTTTGCTAAAGCTTGGCTTGTAATGTGAGGAGTGTTTTGTAGAAAACAAATTGTCGACAAATAATCAAACTCTCACTCTGCTAAATCCAGGGGCCATTGATCCTTCACAGTTAAAGCCACAGCTCAGATAACCATTGCTGACTGGCCTCCAAATGAAATAAAACAGAGCCAGAACCAGGCTGAACCAGCATGCAAGTTTAGCCTTCAACTTTAAAGTAAACCAAAAATTAAAGATTGAATAAAAAATTGATGGAAAAAATCTTTCATTAAATAAAGCCAGATCATATAGTTATCTGTTAATTTCCAAACGGCTACGTCTAAATTTTAGATGTTATTGTCCTGGAATAAAA